TAAATGAGCTGTTGTGAGTTCTAAGGAATCACAAAGCCCATGTTTCAGTACTTACAAAGCGTGGCATAAAGTGTTTTTAAGGGTCAGGCTTGTTCAAGGCACAGATGCTATGAACTGCTGAATGTTGAGGACTTGTCTTAGTGTAAAGTGGTAGATTTGTGGCCTGTGGAACTCCCTGCTGGAATGCCATATGCTCCTTAGGAAGACTTGAGCATTACAGCCTTATGTTTTAACAAAACAAAACAAAGCAAGGTGAGGCAAAACAAGACCAAAATAATCTGATGCTATGTTGTGGATTGAATTGATGGTGTTGTCGAAATGGGCAAATTGTACTTTGCTCCTATTGAAAGATCTGCTTGAAATATAAACAGATTTCATCCCAACAAACTGACAGTAGGTGTGACTAGAAGGCTAAGTTGTCCTGGACTAGATCATTCTTCTCTTTAAAATAATAGAAAAGAATAGAAAAGGAAAAAGAACAACAAAAATTCTCCCTTCATGTCTCCCCTTCTATGGGGCTGCAGGAGGAAGCTTTCAATTTTTAGAAATTACTTTTTTCAAGTGAAATAGCGCTGAATTGACTTGCTGATCAACCAACTCAGTACTAGTTTAGAAGGGCTTTAAAAAACTTTTTGCGTCCTTTTCTGAGGGGGAGCAGAAGAAAGATTTCAATTTATTAATAACTGGTTTCATCTTGCAGCAGCTAAGACAAATGACAGAGAGACAGACAGCCACTTTGGTTCAATCCTGGTGATCCCACATGCCGGAATTGAACCAAAATAGAACGATCTTGCCCAAACTAACAATACAGTAGCCCTTACAAGGACCCAAAACGGTGCAAATAGGCAAGGATCAAGGTCAGACAGTTTGAGGTTGCCCATGCATCAAGTTGTCAACCCAAAAAGAAAAGAACCCAATCCATCACCAAAGAGGTCCAAACTGCAGGACAAAGCACCATCTGAGCAAGCCCTAAAATTTGTGCTTCAAAATGTTTCACAAATGATATTTCGAAAGCCATAAAGATAAGCAAAACAAACTACCACACCACCTCCCATAGTTTTTCACTGCCTTTTCTGCCCTTTTCTCCATCTCTTTCTTAAATGACGTTTATGCAGTTGATCACTGAAATAGCTTCCTCTTTCTCCCTAATCTGGGGATCCAATTTTTGTGCTGTACAAGTGTAACTTGGTGATTATGTGCAAAATAGTGAGAAATCCTAATCATCGTATATTGTTCACTCTACCCTCTCTGCCACCCCCTTTAAAAAAAACAACAACAACAACTTCCTCCTTCTGACGTACTCTTTTCATTTGGCACTGACAGGCTTTTTCCTGCAGCTCAGTCTGGTAGCTGGTGCTAATTATTACCCTAGGAAGACTGCATCAGATGAAAAGTGATTTCCACCCCCTACCATTTGATGCCAAAGAGGTTGCTAAAGAAGAAGCTGCTTTAGGCTAGTTGTTTGTTCAGCCCCCTACTTCAAACTTAATGTTTCAGCTATTCATCAATAATGAAGTTGTGTCCCATCCAGGAAATAAATAAGCATCTGCTCTCACATTCACACGACAGGCACTGAGTTTCCCCCTTCCCCCTTAAAAAAAAAATAAAGCTAATCTTCAAGTATCACAAAATTAGCAGTAATGCACTGTGAAATTTGTTTTTCTACAAAGCAGTGTATTATATTTTAGGGTGAGCTGTGTGTGTATTCACTGACTACAACGCAGATTACTCACAAGAGGTTTGCAGCCTCCTTAACATTCTGGAGATAATATACAATTTGCAGTCTCGGGACTTAGCATGATGGTGTTTCTCAATCCAGTAATTATAAATATTTGACCTTTTTAAAAAAATCAATCCAGAAGTAATGCCTATGGCGAAGCAGACACTTTCTGTCTCCCTTTTTATCCTTTTATGGAAGCTTCTAGCTCCAGTCGTGCTCCTATTTAACAGCTATAATTGCAAATTAAATGGATCCGTTAGTTTTGGGGCCCAGAGGACCACTTTACCGTCTGCTGCAAGGGAATAAAAGTGCTGGAGGCTAGTCACAGCCATCTGAGAAAGAAGGATGACTTCTTTTCATAGGCAAAAGATAATATTTAAAATCCAGATTATGAAGAGACTGACTTTGCTGCAATGCAAATATATATATTTCTATGAACAGATGCTCTGTTCCTGCTGGGGACACATTCATGTAGGAGCAGGAAGCCAAATGACAGATTCCTGGCCTGATCCAGCTATTAGAGCTGCACACACATAACCTGGTCTTTCAGAGCCTGGGAATTTCATTTTTAAAAGTAATTACCCTGTTTCCTTGAAAATAAGATCTAACCTGAAAATAAGCCCTAGTATGATTTTTCAAGATGCTCGTAATATAAGCCCTACCCCAAAAAATAAGCCCAAGTTAAGTGAAACCCCCACCCTCCACCATTGTGCAGCAACCAGAAGATGATGACATTACTGTACTGTATTTGAATAAATGTAGATTGTTGTACATGAAAAAAATAAAATCCCCTGAAAATAAACCCTAATGCATTTGTTTTTGGGAACAAAAATTAATATAAGACCCTGTCTTATTCTCGGGGAAACACAGTAGTTATTTTACTGTTCCAGGCACCACTTCCAAATTGTTAGTTAGTGGCTATAATTACATATTTAAAAAACTATTTGTTATGCCATTTCTGAAAAGTAACTATGATGTCTCATTTAGTTATTCTTTTTTAGAAAATGATCCGAATAGCACAAGCCAGCACACGGACCCTATGATATCCACCCTTCAACATTTTGCAAGGTCACATGTCATAGTTAAATAAGCAACTAAAATTGTTACTGTTATCCACAAAAAGAGTTATGTTATCCTGCCCTAAATTGAAACTGTAATTTAACATAGTACTGTATATCTGTTTTTATTCTAAAAAGGAACTAATCCAAATAAACAAATTGTAACATATTGTTACAAAGGGACGTGGTGGCGCTGTGGGCTAAACCGCAGAAGCCTGTGCTGCAGGGTCAGAAGACCAGCAGTCGTAAGATCGAATCCATGCGACGGAGTGAGTGCCCGTTGCTTGTCCCAGCTCCTGCCAACCTAGCGGTTCGAAAGCATGCAAATGTGAGTAGATAAATAGGTACCACCTCGGTGGGAAGGTAACAGCATTCCGTGTCTCGTCGCGCTATCCACGTGACCACGGAAGATTGTCTTCGGACAAAATGCTGGCTCTATGGCTTGGAAACGGGGATGAGCACCGCCCCCTAGAGTCGAACACGACTGGACAAAAATTGTCAAGGGGAACCTTTACCTTTACCTTTTAACATATTGTTTCCAAGCTTTGGTTTTGATCAGCTATTTAGGAAGGGCAGGACTGAACTCAGATCTATTCTTTTACTACCCCCAAAGCCTGATTGGTGCTCCTGCCAATTAACTGAGCAGAGAGTTGGTCACACTGTCAAAGCTGCTGTGTTTGCATTCGCTGGGATCAAAACTGAGTATTCCCTTCCTTTTTTACATATGATTTCTCCAGTTGCAGTTCATTTTTGTGCATTATTCCCATGTTCCTTCTCCTTCTATTTCCTGTGATTCCCTCCCCCAAACCCTGACCACTTTGCATGGTTATGAGCAACAGTAAAAGAAGCAAACCATTGGCCATGGTTTGATCGTGCCAAACTACACATGATCCCAATTCTGTCCTTGAATGCAGAGTTGTCTTTCACAAATTCCCAACTCTAGAATTCCGTTCTTACCAGAAACCATAGTGTGTGAGTAGGAGATTTATAACCTAGTGCAATGCAATGGGATGAAGCAAAATCAGCCTTTAAAAAGAGAATAATGGATATGGAGAGACAGGTAGATCTCAGTAGATGCCCGAATTTTAGAGCAACAGACATGCATAAATATCATCCGCTCCTTATGGCCTACCTATCACAGCTTGAAACGTATAAGTTTAGGAAAGCCTTTTCTCTGGCTAGATCAGAGGCTTTCCCTTCTGCGGTGTTGGAAAGCAGATTTAAGAAAATCCTGAGGGAACAGAGATGCTGCCCTTGTGGCTCTGGCGAGATAGAATCTATCGAGCACATGATGCTCAGGTGTAACAGGCATAATAAGATCCGAGGAAAATATATTACACCTCTCTTAAAAGATATGGCAGCCAATCGGATTCAGACTACTGTAATCAATTGTTAAACGACCAAAATCGCACTACTACAGAACTGGTAGCGAAATTTTGGGCGGTATGCTATAGCAGAGAGAATAGACAGCTAAACCCTTAGACCTTGGTCTTACATTGCTATATATGCTGTTTTAGATATTTTACTTTTTGTATGTCTGGTATGGCTCTTTGTAGTGCATACCAGTCTTTGAAGCTTTGTACTGTATTCAATTTTGTATGGCTTGATGCCGTAACAATAATGTATGTATGTATGTATGTATGTATGTATGTATGTATGTATGTATGTATGTGTGTGTGTGTGTGTGTGTGTGTGTATGTGTGTGTGTGTGTGTGTGTATGTATGTATGTATGTATGTATGTATGTATGTATGTATGTATGTATGTATGTATGTATGTATGTATGTATGTATGTATAACCTAGGGGAGGGGGCATCCCACTGGAATTAATGCAAACTGCAGACACAGGGGCCCAATCCAGTCAAGCAGAGTAGTGCTAAGCAAATATTTCAAGCTTCTTCCATCCTCCATGCTATGGTCATGTCTCAGTCTGGATTGAAACTTCTGTGTGGACCTTTTATGGAAAGAAAGAACCCTATACTCCTGGGGCAGAATTAAGGTCTTCCATAGTTTTTGCCCTCAGATGCAGAAAACTCTTGTTTTCTCAGGCATTCGGAAATAATTGCCTCAAACTAGAAAAGATACAGTCATGGAAGGAAGTGGGGAAGGAGCCATTACCAAAGTCAACAAGCTTGACCCCTCCTTCTGTCGTCAGGAGAATGTTGTTCCCTTTGACATCCCGATGAATGATTCGGTTGTTGTGCAAATGCTGGAGGCCCTGAAGGTGAACAAGAAGATGAGAGAAAGGTTGTGTGTGTATGTGTGTGTGAAGATGTTTGTGCCCATATTTAAACACAGCCTCCCTAATTATGAGGAAGGTAATTAAAACAATCCACCTCTACGGTACAGAAACATGTGCCCCCTCTGTCATGCCCTTGGAAAAGCCACACACACCCACCCCGGCTGCTCCAAAGCAGCCTGCGCATGACCATCAGCATGGGGAAATATATCCTGTGAGTCCACTGCACCTTCTCCTGTCATCATAAGCTTAATGAACATCCTTACCAGGAGAGCGCCATATAAGATGTACGAGATTATTGCTTCATCCAGCCGTTGGCCACACTTCAGTAGGCCTTTGACGAGGTCGGTGACAGAGCCGCCGTTACACAGCTGCCAAAAGGGGCGGGCGGGCAAGAGGGAAGCAGAAGGAGACGTTTATTACTCCACAGGCTAACGACTCTCCACACCACACAGATCTGCAGCAAGACACCTGGAGAGCGGGCATGTCAAGTGGAATTCACCATGACTGAGGTCAACAGTGCTCACTTCCAGGTAGCTGGAAATGTGTGAACTCCGGGGGCTTCTCGTATTTATCTTTGGAAGGGAACATGTCACATAACGTGCACATTTTTCAACATGGAGGTTGCTGGGCAGTCTGTCTTAAGGCTGCACAAAGGCAACTAGTACTCCGACGTGCCGAGGGCAGTAGGGGATAATGCATCCTGTGGAAATCATGCCCCTTTCCACCCCCAAGCCCTAATGGATCCCTCAGCTCAAAAATAAAAGTGGCAGGGGGGAGAGAGAGAGTCACTTTTAGGAAGCAGCTTTTTACTAATCCAGGACTTCTCGCTACTCCTGGTTTCAGGATAGGGAGCTCAGTGTAGCCTCCACTGGGTCCTGGGAGTGAGAAATTTGTCTCAGGGCTTGTCCAGCCCTCTGCTCCAAGGCCTTCTGGTGGCACGGTTCATCTTAAAAAGAGCATTGTGTCTGGTGATCCCTGTGTGCCTTGCCTGAATAAGCAAAGGCAACTCTTTTTTTCCTATTGAGAGGGAAACTATAACCGCAGGGGGAGGCACGTGGCACGTCCTGACCATCCCTGCTTTAGGTCACGCCCAACTGCCCCATTTGAAAGATTACTTGCAGAAGGCAGCTCCAGCGGGTACCCAAAAGCTTTCCTGTCCATGACAGCTTCTCTACTCTATTTCAAGGGGGAAGGAGATCCTCACACAAGCACCTGGGGTCTCCTGTACATGTCAGCCATTCGCCTTGGGGCCAGGCGGGCTGACGTACTGAGGATCAGGATGAGAGCTCAACGTGTTACCGTAATCTATGGGAAATCTCCCCTCGAATACTTTCATTAGGGTTACCACTTGGCAGCAGATCTCACTCTTCCACAGGTATTTTAAAATAATCCTGCTCCCTGCCCCACCACCCTTCATCCGTGTTGGTTTCCTAGGAATTGTTTTGATCATCTGACAGAACTTCAGTCCAGTACAGAAAACCAAAGTAGGGGCAAAGCTGACCGCTGGCAGGTCAGATTTGCTATCCTTGTAGCCCAACACTGTCTGTTGCAGGAATGGGGTCATTTCCCCCATCCCCAGACGTTGGTGGAGCTTCCTCCTTTCTGCCATAAGCCCCTCCCCCCCAATAGCAAACTGCCCATGTAGAAGCTGTGGAAGCAGGCAGGGATTCATCACTTAAATGTAATCACCCAAATCACATTTAAATGGTAAATTACTGAAAGTTCCAAGGACTTGGTTTGCTATTTGAGGGGCGATTTGTTTTTTCAGGCATCTAGGATCTCTGCCAGAGGTCTTTCCCATCACCTGTTATCTAAATTTTTTTTACCTGGAGATACCTGGTGTGGCACTGGAGACCTCCTGCACAGAAAACAGATGCTAGGGCAGATAGTTCAACTAGATCAAACTGAGGGTTGTAAAAAATGTAGTATTCCATTTTCAAATGATTTAAAAAGGGAAAAAAGATCTATATCTAGAAGGTCGCTAGCACATTTTTCTTCCTCTCTTTAGTGAGTCTGCCTTTTCCGAAACGAGTTGTGTGTGAAGAAAAGTACAGGTGTTTTGGTTTGGGGTTTGTTTTTGTTTTTTCCAAAAGCAGGCTGAGGTGGGGGCAGGGGTGGGTAGAAGACCGGATTGATGCACTTTTTACTGGGAGGCAACAAATGGGAGTCATTTCACTCCATCACGGCTCCTGCTGGCAGGCAGTATAAAACAGACAGCAGACATGTCTTTCAATGCTCAAGCTATGCTGCCAACAACGGAGATGAAGCACTCTGATCCAGAAAAAGGCACAGCTTCTTGCAGACATTTCCCCATTAATAACTTCCCGCACATTAAAAGGGAAAGAGGGAAACCTTAAATTTAAAACCCTTCCCAACATATTTCCATTCCACGCCGTGAGTTCATCGTTCTTGCTTTTCCAGCAACTATTTTGCCATTGCTTTTCTATTTTTTTTCTTCTTCTTCCATTATTCCTTTATTACATTTATCCATTGAATTCATGAGATAATAAAAGCCCTCGAGTTTCAGAGAGGCCGATCAATGCATCTCTTCAAAGCTGCTCTGTGACAACAGTTTTGCTACCGGATTGACAAAAAAACCCTGTAAGGGTGCCCAGGCGTCACCATCTCTCCCTCGAATGGCAAACCCAGGCAGGGAACACCAACAGAGGCGGAAGAAGGACTTCTGAGAAACCCATGTGGGGGGGGAGAGGGGTGTTGTCCTCATGATTGAGGAATCCTGGGACTTGCAGAAGCCGAAGGCTTACAAAACAGAACAAAACAAAACAATCGAGACCGTTCTCAAGCAACCTGGTGATGTCTCAGCATGAAATGCTGAAGGTTAGGTGGGAAAGCAGCAGCCAGCAAGGAAATTTCTTTCTTTCTTTATGAGCTGGCACATCATAAGCCACTCAACAAGGGGCAGAAACAGACAGGTAGGGAGGTGGGGGAAAAGGCTTTAGAGGCCTTTCTCCAGGTTTCAGGCTTCATTCATGAAATCTAGAGAATGAGAAGCTACTGATAATTACTAATCCAACTTCTCAGGGAGCCAGGACACGTAACAAGATATGCTCAGAAACACTCTTGTTTTTCTTCATTATCTTCCACATCCCTGATGCTCTTGCTGCTGAAATTCACATGTTAACAACTTTAATATTCTGTGCCTTGGCCAAGTCCCAACTGTGTTCTTCAGTAACCAATGAAGAACCTCCTCCTTCTGCAGTCTTCTATGCACCGCCACCCCCACCCCCCAAAGAAACTCAAATCCTGCCCCAGGGGATTTCTTGGGCCTCCAGATCAGGATTTCAGGATGCCCAGGGAGGTAAAGGAAGAAGGATTTCTGATTCTGAAAGAAAGAGTGAGTGGATCTGGCCTTATTTAGACTACAGACCTCCTGGACAAATGATCCCAGGGTGGCATGAATTTCATAATTTGAGCCCCTGTGGGACTAGATGCTGAGAAAGAACTACCACTCTTGTCCTACTGTTTAAAATGGAAACTGTGTTTAGCAAGCACGGATCTGATCCAAATTCCCCGTCTCTGGTTCATCTCTGGTTTGGAACACAGAGTTTGTTTTCCTTTTAGCAATGCACTTGAATTCACAAATTTGTAGCCTGCAAATTTCACCCAACAGATTCCAGGAGTCAGATGCCTGATAGCACTACTTCGCTGGCCTTTAATGTTTCATCATACTCATCTGTCAGACATCCCTTTGCAACAGCTGCTGAAGAATGCGCCCTCTGTGAAATCAGCCCCTCTAGATCTCAGGTTTTAGCTCTGAGATCTCACAGAATGGGATGCTGCCGACCTGGAAATCTTATCTGCATATGAGGCCAAGAGGAGGGGGGAAAGTATATTTGGAGTTGTAAATAAAATGGGCCTCAGGACATTGCTTGGCTTAAATCACTGTTACTCTGGGTGGGCAACTTGTGGTCCACGTATTGCTCTACTGCAGCTCCCATCACTCTTAACTGGGGGTGCGACTCCACAGCAAGAAAAATGCAAATTTACACTTACTATGAAGTCACACAAGGGGATTTGGGTTTTCCCATGTCTATTTGTGTTAACTGGCCACACAAGGAGAGAAATCTCAAAGCCCAAGCTGCCTTATATGGGTGAATAGCCTGTACCCCAATGAACACAGCATGATGGATGATGCCCCTAAGGTCCACGCACTAGGAATGAACATTTATAGGGAGAAAGTCCCCACATCTAGACCTCTCTATCCCTTGCAGATACTGACTCTCCTGTTTAAAATTTAGTAACTTAAACAGTCTTACCTCCAGGACCAGCCAGAGCTGTCCGCCCACATATTGATCTGCTTTGTAAAACATTCCATAGAATTTAACAACATTGGGATGATTAGGAAGAAACTGTAAGATGTTGTATTCCGCTTCAATTTCCTCATCCACATCCTAAAACAGGGACACACAGAAATGTGTACTTTTAAAAACATCTCAACTTTGTCACTGGAAGAATCTGTTGAAAAACACACACTGATCAAAGACTCTGAGTTGCTCAAAAGTACACAAACAAACACACATGTATCGCCAATACATACAATACGCCTCTCTTAAGTATCTTTTTGGTCATTGCTATCCAGGTTGCAATTAGGTGGCTCAGATCACACTTAAGCTAAATTCCCTTTAGGCTCACATGAGAGAACATATTTCAGTGATCTTGGCTAGCCTATGGAATGTCCTTACAGATAGGTGAGCAATGTATGGCTTTTTAATAAAACCTGAAGATGTCAGCTCTCTTGAAAGCACCTTTTTGCTCCCTACGATTACAGCAGCATGCAATCATTGCATCTTTTAAGCACTCTTGTCTCTTTAGCTCCTATTCCAGGTGGCCAAGAAGTTTGGTTATGTGGCTATAGGACCATATACTGACTACAACGTATGTGGCATCATCCAGATAGGAGAAGCACACCGGAACAAATAAGGAGCTGAGAATCACCTGGTCAGGAAGGATGAACACACTCCAAGTTGACTTGATGCCAACCACCTTGTTCATAGCTAAGCAACAGAGACAGCCAGAAAATATAGTCACCCATCTTAGGGGGAATGACTTTCCTCTCCCCTTCAGCCTTGAGTTCCTTCAAGCTGCTGTGTCTAATCTGGCTATGCTTTCTGCCTGCCTGTCCAGGACACTGTTTCTCCTGATCTGAATTGCTGGAGAGACAAATTTAGCAGGGTATGTTGAACCCAAAGGAGAAAGAAAAGACTGACAGAAAGGGGGGCAATAAGGTGGTGGGGCAGGCTATGGTGGATACAGCTCTCTTGGTGCTGGACATTGGCACAGATTCAGTTTGCAGAGCATGGCATGTGGGTTGCATGCAGGGCTGCCTGCATTGCAAGCATGAGTTTCACACCTATGCGTATGCAGTGTGCAAGACTTTTTTTTAAGTGTTCATTTTGCTTTTTACTTACACTGATAGGATCTAGAATCTTCACTGCCGCTAGACTTCCGTCCTTCTTATTCGCCACTTTATAGACTTTACCGTACGTCCCCTTCCCAATGGTCTCAATAATTTCCCAGGTATCTGAAGGATCCGGTAAAGACTCAAGTCCAATCATATTCTGATTATATTGAAACAATCCATAGAATGGCTTCCTGAAGGAAAAGAAAGTGTAGCAATTCATATCATGACCTAACCAACTTTTCACAGATACAGGCATCTTGGTGGCTGTGCTAGAAGCTCTCGGGGGGAAAAAAGAGAGAAAGAAACCAACTGTAAGTTAATTAATAGCAACTCTGGACTCCAGTTTACAATGACATCTCCTGAGATCTCAGTAGTAGCTGGACTTTCCATCCAGGACCCTGGTAGCACTGGCATTTGGAAGTCATGTTAACTTTAAATGTGTTCCCTCAAAATCCTCCACCCATTCTCCCTTGCCCTTCTTTATACAGATTGCTTACTCTCTCTCAGTCTGAAAACTGAATGGCATTTGCTTAAGTATGTATTTCATTACCCACATGTCTAGGGCTTAACTCCTTATTTCTCAACTCTAATCACATTGTTGCTCTCCAAGAATCTGCAGGATCAGAAACTGTGCTGCCTTTTCCTTTTTAGGACATTATTTACAATAGACATAGCATGTCTGTTTGCAAAGCAGAGACATCTATGCGTTGCTCTTTTCCCCGAACAAAATTGAATTCTGTAGCGTTGATATTGGACTTCCCACTTTGCAAGGAAATGGAAAATACTTGAGAGCATAACTCAATAATGTGGTACTAAATCCAGCTTAAACATGTGTCTCCTGCCCATTAAGGGAAGATAGATGTGGCCTAGTTTGTACATTTGTCTCCTAATAAGGCAGCAGGTAGAGAAAAGCCTTCTGATGGCTGCAATAGCTGCAGATTCAGAACGCTGCTACCTTGAGCTATGTCAAGATCCTTTTGATGAATGCAATTTCCCCTCCCTGCTAGGATGTGTCTCTGAACAAAGAACATGTCCAGTCAGGTTGTAGCCAACAAAATCTGCACATTCCAAGTTTATTCTTCCCCTTTCACTGCCTCCTCAAATTCTTCAGCTTTACATTAGTGTTTGCAGGAATCTTCTTGGATTCTCTATACAAAGTACACCAGCTTCTCCCACCCAGTCCCAGCTGGCTCTCAAAGGATATTACACTCACTGATAAGGGACAGAAAGTCCACAGGTTTTATTGGATCATTACCGCTCTGTATGGAGCACTTGGATAAAAGGAACAGGTAGAGACTCGAAGCTTCCAGAAAGTGGAAAGCCAATGAGGTAGAACGGCAACGTCATTGAAAAATGACAGCATCACTGAACAGGAATCATACTCAATTGTGGGGAAAGTAAAGCTGACCGCTGTCCATTTCTGTGGGGGAGATAACATGCAAGACTGTCATCACACCCATTATACTTGATTGCATCGAAAGCCTATGTAAACAACATGTAAGAAAATGCCAGGTTTTTTGTTTCTGTTATGGTAGGACTCAGAGTCTTTGACATAATGATTATTAGGATAAAAGACACCAGATGTTGAGAACCATTGAACTAATGCACACTAAAGCAGAGTCCCAGTTTGTAGGTAAACATATCACCTGAGAGGGCCTCATTTGAATGCCTGCAGACCTTTCCTTCTCCATCACAACTCAAGATACTATGAAGATAACATGACTTCAATATGAGGATCAGATTTTTTTTGTTCCCCTTGCCCTCAGCTTCTGCTCTTAATAACATGAATGGCAATGACATTACTTACAGGCAGCGTGTCTTTCAGTTTGCCCTACATTACAGGTTTTGAGACGCACACATCTCATTTATCACAGACTTCTCATGACAGCCTTTTTGACTCATGCTAATTCATCCTCAAGATGGTGCACCACCTTGTTGTAGGAAATGATGAGGAAACTGAGCTACGACAGTAGGAGACAGCAAAGGAGTGTGTCACAAGGAGAATGGGTAGCCGAGCGAGAGAAAAAGAAGAGGCTGGTGTGAGGTCTGGCAACTTACAGAGGCTATTCTCTTGAGAACCTCTACATCTGTGGAGTCCTCATGGCAACTGAGTCATTTCCTCTCTTGTTTGTGCTGTTCTCTTTTGTCAGGAGGAGGCACTGACTAACCCTCTGACTTTGTACCTGGCGTTCTCTGCTTCTTGTGGGAGGGTTTTTGCCCCCTTCCCCACTAAGGGTCTAGCATGTTTCCTAGTGCCATCTCATGTTGGAGCTCTGCGTTCTCCTCTGAAGAGGACCTGGCCAGAAAAAAAAAGTCTCTATCCCCTGCCCCAGCCCCACCTTGTCCCTCTCTCACATTTTTAAATAAAACTTCGACAAACACTTCTAAAAGCTTCATGATAGTGGAAGAGGAGAGATGTTGGGGGCGCAGTCGTAGCACTAGGAAGTGCGAGACCCACTTCCCTGGTGCCTCCTCAGCAGAAAACGTCTGAATGCCTCTCCTTGAATTTAGGCGTCTAAAAGCCGTTTCTTCTTCTTCTTCTTCTTCTTCTTCTTCTTCTTCTTCTTCTTCTTCTTCTTCTTCTTCTTCTTCTTCTTCTTCTTCTTCTTCTTCTTCTTCTTCTTCTTCTTCGTTTCATGAGAGCTTTTGAAAAGTTTCGCTGCAGTGTGAGAGGGAAGGAGGAAGCTGTGAGACAAATGGGAACATTCTGTGCCATAACAGGCTTGCAAGCTGGAGTTCCCCATCCTCGGTTTATGGTCTAACAGTCACTGCGCATGATGGGATGACTCCTTCCATGTAATGCCTCATTAAGAGGCAAACAGTCAGGCAAGAGCTTAATGGGGCCGCAGTGTGTCTTTATGGATTCAAAAAGCATAGGATATTCTCAAAGGGAACTGGTTTCCACTTTATGCCCTTCCTTTCCCCCAGGCCATATATTGGCCCATAGACAAGTACAGCATTATTATTTTAATGCTCATATGATGTATATAACTTTCAAATTATGTGCTCAACATGTTTTTTAATGTTAACATGTTAATCTTATGTACTTGAAAGCCAATGTAGTGTTAGATGGTTGTCATAGGATTCAGGAGACCTGGGTTCAAATCTCTACTTGGCCATGGAAACCCACTGGGAAGTGGCACTGATAAAACCACTCCTTAAGCATCTTTTAAAAATCCTCTTAGAGTTGCCATAAGTCAAACGCTTAACAATAACACAATGGACTTAGTATGGTTGGTTTAAATATTTTGGCTCCTTGTTGCAGCATTAAGAGATGCGAACGTGAAAAGTCAAACATGCAAGAACAGCATATGAACTGTTTCAGTCAAGAGACATTACAATTAGTCGCTTGCTGTCATCACAACAGCCAGAATGTCCAAAATGTGATGCATGACATTCTGTGAATGCAGCCAAAGACCATTTTTTATTGTGGCTTCACTGCGTGGGGCAAGTGATGATAAATATGTTGTTCCTTTATAAAAGTGCAGTTTTCCATCATGTTTCCCTTACTTTGTAATGAATCACTGTACAAATCCTACAGAGTTAAATGTATCAAACTAATTCTCCCCCAACCACCCCCCTGGATGCCTGCATAGGATGGATAACTCTACTCACATATAACAGAAGATGACACATTATAAGGGCAGGCGCCAACAACTTGTGCACATTACCTGCTCTTGCTATCTTTTCTGGATAAGTTTTGAGGATAATTCAAATGTTTTTATTCCATATTTTATTAACAGCCAGTTGGTGTTAGTTGCAATAGGCAAACGTGGACAAACTTCAGTTTGGAATCAGGGTTAGTAGGGAAAAGCCAGCTTGAACCCCTTGTTTTCCCCAACTACTGTTGGGAATAAACACAGTTTAGGCTTGCAGTGTGGGTAATCTAAAATGGAAGTGGATGTGCCTGAATTTCTCCTTGTAGCCACATGAGACTCACTATAGCTTATCACGTTTCTCTCCAGATGTTCATGGCTTCAGCTCCTGTTATCTTGAGCCACCACATCCAACACTGACAAGTCAAGAGACTTGCAGTCCCACAGAATACTCTCAAATCTGGTGAGCCACAGATTCTCCATCTGTGGGTTAGCATTAATCTCACCAACAAACATCTAGTAGAGAGGACACTAGCAGCCTTCACAGGCTTCGGCACAATCCACATGAGGAATCATATGTTAATGCTCTCTGAGTGCTGCCAGTTTCTGAGGTGTGGGTGGCAAGCAGGAGGAACACATTTTTTCTGGTGCCACCCCTGCCTGCCGTCTAGCAAGGGATGCTCATTTTACCCTCACACTCCTATCTTTTTGTACTAGGAAAAATATTTCTCACAAACATTGTAAAATACATCTAGATCTGTTTTAACAAATCTGTTATAGCTGCTATCTTAAAATCAATCATGGCTGTATCAATGTTTTCAAATAGTGTATTTGTAAGCCACTCTGAAAATGGTGCCCTGCCCGAGGAGTGAGATTTTATGTGCGAAAGCTTGCAATTTGTGATTATTATTTTTAGGGGCTCAAAAAAGGTATCACCTTACTCCTGTGTTTGTGTAATTCAGAACCGCACAGGCTTTTCCTAATTCACTCTGAAAAACGTAGTTGAAGCGTGGAACAAATATTGCATTAAAGCAAAATAAATACTGAGTTTGACTGACAACCCATCGTACTCAGGGAATTTACGAAGCCATTTCCAAATCATCAAATTTGAAGATTGACTGCCCATCAATTTGAAATGTGTCAAAGACAGAAACAAAACAATTTCTTAATTATATGTACACATGGTCACAAGCTAGACTGGAAATTGTGCCCTTTTCCTTAGTCTTCTTTGTTTGTGCTGAGAAACATGCTATGGCTATATGGTTGAAATGTTGATGCATTAGCATTTAACATTTATTGATGATAATCACTATTTGGGAATATTATAAATTACATATGTTACACATATTATTAGGAACATAACAGTGATGCTTAACTTTTAATTAAACATAAATACAGTCATGAAAAATGGTCAAAAATTGCCACCCCTATGGAAATTCCCTTTCCTAAAAAAGTTATTTGTCACTTTTCCTGCTCCACCAGTTCCTCCCAGGCAATGGTGTTCCAGGTGGCCACTCCAAAGGAAACCAGGAAATCACCCATGAGAAGGAAGGCCTTC